GTGGTCACAAGGCGGAAGCGCCTTGGTGAAGATGTCTGCAGTGTTGGCCTCGGACTCTACAAACTCGAAGCGAGCCAGTCCACGCCTCTGCAACTCTCGCAGAAGAAAGTACCTGACGTGAATGTGCTTCACTCTGCTCTCCAGTCGCGGCTCACGACAGAGGAGGATCGACGCCTTATTGTCAGTAAACAAGGTCGGTGCAGAGCTCGGCCGCTCACCAAGGTCGGCGAGCAAGAAGGTCAACCACCGTAACTCCTGTGCCGCCATGGCACCAGCGTAAATCTCAGCCTCAGCTGTAGAGGTCGAGACAGAAGAGGAGCGCGTGGAACGCCAGGAAACAGCTCCAGATTCCAGACTGAAACAGTACCCCTGAGTAGACCTGTGAGTCTCAGCGTCGTCAGCGTAAGAGGAGTCACAGTGACCAGTGAGTACGACAGACTGCTGCCCTCCAAGAACTAGCCCCACGCCTGATGTAGTTGCTAGGTACTTCGCCACCCTCACAGCTGCCGTCCAGTGAACAGGACGGTGTCTCCCTGGCGCAACAAAGCGCGCAAGGATGCTGAGAGGGAAGGCGAGGTCCGCGCGAGTACAAGTCATCAGGTACATGAGGCAACCCACAAGTTCTGCGTAGGGACCACTAGGCTCAAACGGCTCGTCAGGAAAGGGACCAGTGAGTCTGTGGTCAACAGCTAGAGGTGTGCGCTGTACGGTGGAGTGCTGAAGCCCGAACCGCTGAAGGACCTGCTGCACCATGTGTGACTGTGAGAGTGTAATGGTGCGAGCGGCTCTGTCCCTGGTGATCTGCAGGCCAAGGTAGTGGCGCAGCTCACCAAGATCAGTGCACGTGTGTCTCTTCTGTTGTTCGGACTTCACGTCTGCCAAAGCAACCCTGTCCGAAGTGGCGAAAACGAGGTCGTCGACGTAGACCAGAACAAAGAACGGTGTGGAGCCACGACGAACGAACAGCGACGGGTCGGCAGAAGACGGCTGGAACCCAAGGTCAGAGAGGGTAGAACGCAGAGTGTCGTGCCACTCACGAGGGGCCTGGCGAAGACCGTAAACAGGTCGCCTCAGCCTCCACTGGGTCCCAGGAGGGAAGGTGCCAGTGAAGGCCGAGGGACGACGCAACCAGACCTCCTCGTGTAGGCTGCCCTGAAGGAAAGCAGTGGAGAAGTCGAGAGAGTGTAACTCGTAGTCTCTCTGTGCTGCTACGTGTAGTAACACCCGAAGAGTGGTCATCTTTGGGGTAGGTGCGAAGGTCTGAAAGAAGTCAACTCCCTCGCGCTGACTGAAACCTCTAGCCACGTAGCGCGCCTTGAAGACCGGGGGAGATCCCGGTGGCCGCTTCACCCCGTAGATCCACATGCCGTCGACTACGTTCGCCCCAGGGGGGGGAACCTCATCGACGTAGGTGCCTGTGGATCTGTAGGAGGCCATCTCCGCGTCCATGGCAGCTCTCCACTGAGAGGCCCAAGGCCCTGACACTGCCTCAGCGTAAGTGCGAGGAGTCGGAATGTCAAGGGCGTCGGGGTCACCCTCAGGGGCGAGGAGCATGGCACAGAGATGAGGGGAAGCGGCCGCCAGGAACTCTAGCTCAAACTGCCTGTCCTCTAGGGCGTCACAGCCAAGGGCAGACACACCCCGACGGCCAGAGGACTGGTAGGAGGAGCAGCCACAAGCGTGGTGGCGTAGTCAAGGCGGCGGGTAGAGGCAAAGTCAGTAACAGCGGCAGTAAGAGCGGACACAGAGGACACAGAGGCACGAGGGTGAGTAACAAGAGAGGCGAGAACACGAGAGAGAACAGGACGGTACGTGCGGTAGTAGTCAGTGACAGGAGTAGGGAGCGACACAGTGAGGGCCGACTCAGGAGGAGACGGAAGCACAGACTGAGACGGACGAGGTGGACTAGAAAGAAGGAAGGCAGTACGAAGGTCAGTGAAGGGAACAGGAGACGAGGGACGAGCACGAGGGGAGCGACGAGTAGCCCAAGAACGAGACGGAGGAGGAGAGGACAAAGGCGGAGAACTGGGGAAAACAGCGGGGGAGGAGTCAGGAGGAGGAAACGTGGGACCGTAGACAGGAGGAGAGGCGGAGGAGGGAGGAGAAGGGGAGGGGAGACCAAGGATCCGAAGACCCGAGACAGGAGGAGGAAGTGGCTGCTGCTGCTGCGGCTGCGACTGCTGCTGCTGCGGACGCGGCTGCTGCTGGGACTGCTGCTCCTGCGGGTCCAGCTGCTGCTGCTGCTGCTGCTGCTGCTCCTGCGGCTCCAGCTGCTGCTGCTGCTCCTCCAGCCGCTGTAACTCCCTCTCCTCTCTCTCCAACGCCAGCTGCTCGTCACGGGCACGGCGAACACGAGCCTGGTGCCTAGTCGGGTAGGGGTGGGGGGGTGGAGTAGTGTCCGAAGCAGCGGCAGCTCCAGAGTCCACCTCAGAAGAACTAGGCGCACCACCCCCAGAGGCAGCACTAACACCAACTCCAGAACCAGGCTCACCTGAACCCGAAGGAGGCCCACCCTCACCCCCAGACGCAGCACCCCCAGTGTCCGCGCGGCCAGCACCAGCTCCCGGACGACAAGAGTCCTCTGCACCCACCGGGTCAGCTCCAACTCTAGAACCAGAAACTCCAGCTCCAACCCCAGCTCCAACTCCAGTACCCCCAGAACCAGAAACTCCAGTGCCAACTCCAGCTCCAACTCCAGCTCCAACTCCAGCACCCCCAGAACCAGAAACCGGTACAAGAGCAGGCGCCGCACCAACCTCTCGAGAGCTAGCACCAGCGGCACGCTACGAGGAGGACTGTGGGGAGGGAGGCTGTACCGGAGGGGCTACCGAAGGAGGAGGGGTAGCCTGGGACACACCTGACGGGGCTGGACCAGGGGGGGGAGGCTGTACCGGGGGAGCAGGAGGGGGAACGGCAGTCAGGAAGAGGGGGGGAGGAGGAACCGGGAGACCTCGACTGGGGTACCTGACGTAGTACGGAGTGGACTCCTCGAAACGGACGTCACGTGAGTCAAAGAACCGGTGAGAGGGAGGGTGGTAAAAGGTGAAGTCAGAGGAGTCCTCAGGGAAACCAAGGAAGACACAGGGGACGGCACGAGGCGAGAGCTTGTCCGCGGAGGTGTCGCGGACAAGAGCCAAGCACCCCCAGACACGAAACCGCGACGCAACACCAGGGGACCCTGTCCAAAGACTGGTCGGTGAAACCTCTGGTCGAGAGACACGTGGCCAGAGGTTCAGCTGGTGCGCGGCGTACCTGACCGCGTAGGGCCACAGAAAATGGGGGGCACAGGCGTGAGTCAGGGAGGTGCGGGCGATCTCCATGACCAGGCCTATGCGGCGCTCAGCAACCCCATTCTGCTGTGGGGACTCTGGAAGCGTCCAGGACTAACGAATGCCCTGCTCGCGACAGAATCCAGCGAGAATGCCGGAGCGAAACTCACCCCCACGGTCGGAGTGGAGACAGCTGACACGACGACCACGAGTGTCCTCAGTGGTGAGCAACCACCTGATCAGCGTAGAAGTCACCTCAGACTTCTTCGCCAAAGGGAACACTGTGGTGTAGCGGGAGAAGTCGTCAACTACCACCAGAAAGTAACGCTCACGCTCAGGGCCTAGACGAGGGGCTGGGCCCCAGACGTCCAAGTGAAGCGTCTCAAAAGGCTCGGTGGCCGGACGAAGGGAGGAGGAGTGAGGGGTGGCGCGCAGCCTACCCTCGACGCAGGGACGACACGGCGGCGCAGGCGAAGGCGGCGGCGGCAGCGACGGCAAGACACGTGGGAGGCCTAGGACAAGACGCTGACTAGACATAGCGCGCAGACGTGGAAGGGACGGGTGCCCCATCCGGTTATGCCACAGAACGGTGGGGTGGGCAAGCGACCGGCAGGAGCACGACGCAGCGACTGGAACAGACGTAGGAACCTGACACGACACAGACACCTGGGGGGACGTAGCAACCTGGTGAGACGCGGGGACCCGAACGGGGGGGGGAACCGGGGGCAGTGGCAGTAGGGGGGGCTGCTGGTGCGGCCGCTGGTGCTGCTGCTGGTGCTGCTGCTGCTGCTGCTGCTGCTGTGCTGCTGCTGCTGCGGCTGCTGCTGCTGCTGCGGCTGCTGCTGCGGCGCACGCGGGCCAGTGTGAAGAGTGTAGAGACCCGAGCCCGGCTCAGCAGTAAAGGTAGCAAGAGGCTGGTAAGAGTCTCCGTCAACACACACCGCAGTCTCTCCAGAAGGCTCAAACCACACACCCACGTGCTGACTCACGAGGGGTCGCACGCCCACCAAGTTCCGGGAGAACGAGGGGACGTGAAACCCAGTGAGAGACCCGGAGGGAGCAGCAGGACACGGTAAAGTGGTAGTGTGACGTGCAGTGACTGGTCCTATAGTGGGATCAGCCAACACTACAGAAACAGGCGCAGGAAGTGGTGTAAGTGTCGTGCTGTCCCGAAAGAAGCAGTGGGAGGCTCCAGAGTCCAGTGTGAACGACAGCGAAGCGTCCTCTGAGGTAGTCGCTGGTCTAGAGTCTACACAAGTACCTACACTAGCAACAGGCAACTGAGCAAGACTAGCACCTAAGCTAACAACACCAGAGTAAACAGAGTCAGAAACACTAGAGTCAACAACAGCATACATAGCATGAGGAGCACTAATCAGATCAACCAACTGCTCAGCAGACATGCCCCACAGAGCGGAGCCGTGGCGCTGAACCAGAGGAAGCCAGTCAGGAGCAGGACCACCAACCCCGTAGATCAACCGGACCGTGTCAGTGAGCTGAGCAAAGCACTGACCAGGGGGGTGAAAGCGGCCACAAGGGTGGCCCCGACGAGGACCTGTCTGAACCTGGTAGGGGCAGGAGGGTAAGCAGCACCGCGCTGGGGCTGACGCAGCCCCGACCCCGGAGCCAGCTGCTGACGCTGCTGCTGCTGAGGCTGCTGGGAGGAAAGGGGCTGCTGCTGCTGCTGAAGGTGCTGCTGACGCTGAGCCTGGTACCACGCCGCTGCTCCACCTAGCGGGGCCGGCAGTACAGGAGGCGACTGACGAGCTCGAGGGTCACCGCCACCAGCAGGTGCAGCGGAGTCACCAGCCGCTGCACGAGGGGTCTCTCCAGACGCTGCACTCCCACCACCGCCAGTCGCAACAGCACCCCCACTACCTCCGCTACCTCCGCCTCCACCTCCACCGGAACCACCTTTCTTGCCCCCCTGCCGCGGGACCGCGACGCAGTCGTAACAGCAGCCGCAGTCGCATCAGTAGCGGCAGTGGCAAGAGAGGCAGTGAAGGTGGGTAACTGCGGTACTGTGCACCCGTGGAAGAGTGGGGGGGACACAGTACCAGAGGCGGCAGCTACCGAACGAAGGTTGCTCTCGACGTCCTTGAGTGCAGACTCAAGGACCTCGATAGTCAGCTCACTAGGGTGCTTCAGCAGAAGCGCGTCACGAACTGAGGCAAGGCGGTCAGGGAGGCTAGTGGCGATGAAATAGACAGTAATCGCCATGGGGGGAGGAAGCAGTGCAAGCTGTGCCTCAGTGCAAGCAGCGCGGTAACTAGCGTCGAGCGAGCGGAGGTGAGCGATCAAGTCAGCAGAGCGCTCAAACGAGGCAAGATCAGGAAACAGGAACGGGAGGAAAAGACGGCCGAGAGAGACAGTAGCGGGAGTAGAGTAGCGGGCCTTAATCGCAGTGAGGTACGCAGCAGCGGTGCGAACCTGAGTAAAGTGGACCTCCTCGGACTCAGGGAGGAGGCTGCTGAGTGCGATGCAGGCCGCAGCGTCACGCGACGTCCAAGCCGTCCGGTCAGCGCGCTGACGGGCAAAGCGAGCCGTAGCAGTGTCGTCAGGAGCAGGGCCTAAAGCGGTAGGCTCGGGGGGCTCGGGGAGGTCACCAGTAGCGTGTGACCAGAGGGTCTCTCCCCCCTGGACCTGACTCTCTAACAGACGACGAGCGCGAAGAAGCCAGACGGAAAAGTCAAGGGGTCTACCGTCAGCGTCGAAACGAAGAACTCGCGGAGTCGCCATAGTGAGAACCAACGCGAACGAACAGGCGAGTAACAAACGGGGGGGAAGAGGACTCAGTCGCAGCGGAAGAGTGGGTTAGGGCGACGGGCACAAAAGTAGGGTAGGGCAAGGGCCAGGGCCTAGGGAGGGCGGACGGGCAGAGCTAGGGAGGGGCGACGGGCCAGGGA